CTAAGAAGAAAAAAAGAAGGCAAAATAAAAAAAAGGAAAAAAATAAAAAAGACATTTGTGCGTAAAGCGGAGAAAAAGACTCCAAAAAAGAGTTTATATTTTTTCCTTCAAGAGAAACACCCACGAACCCTTTTTTTTTGTGGGGGTTTTAATCTCCACAAACCCTTTTTTCCGTCAGAAACAAAAGATCAAAAAAAAAAAAAAAAAAAAAAGAAAGCATCCTATTTCCAATGTTATACCAAACAAGGCTTACAAATATAAACACCAAGGGCTCGGTTCCTCAAAAGATCATGGTTTAGTAACCCAGGATTAAGCTGAATTTTAAGCTAGGTTTTCTTGTCTAAGAACATGTAACTCAGGCATACAAAATACTGTTGGTCACTCTAAGCAGTACATAGGAAGGCAAAATACAAAAAAGGAACAAAATTTTGATGATCAGTGGATTAGCCTCTCAGGAACCGGGACAGATATTAATCCAAGAAAAGTACTACTACCAGTACACTACGTATAGATCATAGGCATCATAATACTACTACAGAGGAACCTCGATTTAACGGAGTGCCAAGGGACTGGGAATATTTTTTCTTTATATCGTGGGTTGGTTATATCGAAAACCTCGATTTAACGAATTTTTGAGAAAACAAGCAAAATGTTCGTTATATCAAGGTTCTGTTCTATACATTTTATTGTAATTTTGGTCGGGCTGATGAAAAATTAGGTCATTATACCGAGGACTTTGTTATATAGAGGTTCGATAAATCAAGGTTCCACTATACTAGAACCCCTCAGGGTTTTGTTTCTTGTGCAGTTAGGGATATTTTAAATGTACAATGAAAACGAAGTAGATTCTGGTCGTAAAAAACAACAATTAAAAACAAAAAAAAATCAGCGATATTACGATTCAACCCGTTTACTCTTCTGCTGTAATCTGCACGCTACTGAAGAGCTAAACTTTACAAGTATTGTGCTCATTATTATTATAATTTTTTTTGTAACCTGACTTGATTTGAATAAAATAAAAATTACTTTAGGCACGCCTGGGTTTGTAGTCACTTATCAAATTTAAATTTCCACTTATATTTAGATATATACAAGATTTGTTAGGCCTATGAACCCCGAACCTACACACTTATCATGAATTACAACACCATCTTTCGTAACTACCCTATCCAACAGCTTATGCATTAGAACTCTGCATAAGCACATCTGGTTCTAATTCGTCCAAGCCAAGATAGGCTTCATTAGTAAATTCACGTGGACGGCTTTCCGAGTTTGGGTGTTGTCTTCTTTTCCTTCTACAAAAAAAGAATGAATAAAGAATTGCAGAAAAGTAGGATTAGTTATTTGTAGGCTGTATGCTGCTATTTTAATTGAGATTCTTGACTTCTTTCGTCCATATTTTCTCACATGGGTAACGGGGTGGTCAACCGATTTCTCAGCCAATTTTGTTTTCTAAAGCCAAAAAAATTAAAAGTTATTATTATCATTATCATTATTATTATATTAAAGAAGACAGCTAGACTTTGTTGACTCATATCTCAAGATCAAAAATATTAGAGCCTGCCCAAATTAATTAATTAATTACTACTATTATTTTTTTTTTGAAATTTTAAACAAGTTTTTTAAAGAATTAGGAATTTAAAAGTACGAGATTTTGTTCTTTTTTAACTTGTTTCTTTTTAATATCAGAGACGGATGATTCTCTTTTGTAATGACTTAATTTATAACTCCGGACCGCCTGCAAGAATTAGTGATCGCATCTGATCCGCAGGGAATGTATTTGGGAAATCGTTATTGACACAGTGATCGTATTTTTTTATGACTTATATAATTCTTAATGTTATATAGTGCTTAATTCTTACTTCAAATATTTCTGTAAATTATGTGCATATATTTTTTTGAAATAGTTATTATTACTTTTATTTTTCATTATAATTATTATTATTACCACCATCATTATTTCAAACAAGCTTTATCTCGTTTATCTCGTTTAATAGTATTTTGAACCCGAAAAACTCTTTAATTTCACGAACAATATTTCCATTTTTTCCTTCTTTCTTGCCACTGACGTCAAGTTATCAGTGTAATAATAATTACTTCCTAGTTTACCGCAATAAAACCTCCACCTATCTTCCCAATTTGACCGCTACAAGGCTTGAAATCACGGCGTTTTTCCAGGAATTCTCGGTCAATTGACTTTGGTGACGTATCCCAGGCGAAGAGTGGGGAAATTAACTTCTTCGTTCGGCCCGTGTGAGAAGAAACGCATTGGCCGTGGGGAAATTAAAATAAAGAGGCCTTGGACTAGGCAAGCTTGAAATGTGTGAGATTTGAGACTAAAATAACAAAAAAAAAATGTCCGTCACAGTCACAGAGAGACAGAGACAGAGACAGAGAGAGACAGAGACAGAGACAGAGAGAGAGAGAGAGGGAGAAAGAAAGTATGAAATAAAATTTTATCTGTCAACTTACATGATGAAAATTCCGCAAAGTACCAGCA